ATGCAATGACCTCTTATATGTCAAAAGATTAAAAAAAAATTTAATTGTCAATTTATGACCATTTTAAAATTTTGTGTAACTAGTGCCAAAGTAGACCTCCTGTTGATTCGGACCCTAAGGTATAGCCTTCAATGCCCTTGTGCACTGATGAGCCTTGGGCATAGGAGAAATCCCGGGGGGGTCGGGGGGGACAGGACCCCCCCTATCTGAGGGTTGTCCCCCCCTAAAATATGATTAAAAACCATGCTGTGGATTGTAAATATCAGTGTTTTATACTTTAAATAATTGTGTAAGTAGTAAAACAACACGAACAGGGCAAAAATGCGTTTTAAGTTTAGAAACATTTTGAGTCTCCCCCTTCCTTGCCTCACAGTGCTTTGGTACAAATGCCTGCTTTCCTCTTTTAAATAATCTACACACACACACAAGTCTGGTGAGAGAGAAGTCAATAGTTGTGGAACTCCAGTAAGTAAGGCTGTCAAGGCTATTTTATTCACTTAAACATCGGATGAAGTGATTATTTTATCTTTAATACAGATGATGCCAATGCATTTTTCGATGAGTCCACTATGTTAACAATAATAATGTTACCTGTTTGAGGGAAAGGGTTGCCAGGTTTTCATAACAAAACCCGACCAATTGCTACTCAAAACTAGCCCAAACGATCCACGTTTCGAGGGGGTCTCCATTAAAAAAATTGCATTCCAGGGCTAAAATACACGTTATTGGGGTCGCTTCAACCCGCGGACATGAAAAACAACCCACGGCAACAGTGATAAAGTAGCCGAATTCCACAGGAAATCCGTGGACTTGACAACACTGTTGATGGATATTAATGTCTACAACGGACATGAGCGCTGTCATGGTGCGACCACAACAGCTTTAAGTCAGGGGTCGGCAACCTATGGGCACGTGTGCCACTCAATAGGGAAAACGGCATACTGACGTACAATTTGAGGTAATAACTTTTCATTGTCACACAGCCTGTTAAAGGCAGGGTATGTAATTTTTCAAAAACACTTTAGAAAACTGATTCGGGCCGAATAGCAAAACAAACTTGTAGCCAATCAGCAATAAGGGGCGTGTCTACTCGTGATGTGGAGGAGAGAGCTTTCAGTGCATGGGATGGACATTAGCCGAGCCGAGCGACAGAAAGATAGAGATGGTGGATAAAAAACAAAAGAGGAAAACGTCTGCGGAACGATAAGGCAAGAGGTAGGACCCGTGTAAATATCGGATCAGCTTTCCAGCGCTGAAGAGAACTCAAGGAGCGGAGGCATGCGATCGGATGCCGAGGCTGCTTTGTTTCTTCTCAATAGGTGAGTAACACCGTGTCTACAACAGCTAAAGTCTGCCTACACTGGACGCGATCAAATAACCGTTGAAAACCATTTGAAATTTGTGTCAGCACGTCATAAATAGAACCCTGCAGCAGTTTTCTGTCAGGGACTTTTTGTGCCGCGCCGCTCACGTCCGTAGACACGGTGTAACATTGGTTTTGCTTTGTTTCACAGAACTAATCGTTGCCTGGGTTGCGTACGTATATGTGGGGCGGAGCTATCAAAATAGGGGCAAGACCCTTTTGGGGTAGGGGTGTGTTTGTTTTGGTGATTTCAAATATCAACATTGGCTACTAGAAATTGCTCACCCTGCCTTTAAGAGCTATAAATACTATTAAAGTGTGAGAATGAACTTGCGCTAGTGTATGGATGTGTGTGCGACCGCTGCACATACTAGGCCCTTCAGATCAAAGCCTCAGCGGTCTAACAGAGCTCGTCAATGTCAACATGACTGAGATGGCCGATCAAATCAAAGTAGGCGGGGTTTACTGTTCACAAAAGCAGAGCGTCAGTTTAAAAAAAGAGAGCGAGGTAAGATGAAGCTGCATTACGATAGAAATGTTAAATGACATTTTTCTCAAATATGGCCATTTTGAGAGAGAGATATATGTGTAAATTGTCTGCGTCTGTCTCTCTACAAACAATGAAGCTGAGTTTAGTTCCTTAAAAAAACAGTAATTTTACCCTCCTCGTTGCTGAGAAATTAAAGCAGCGCATTAATATAGAACGGTGATTAATCTGAACGGTTTTAATGCATTGGCCTTGTCACACGCACACATGCAGTGGTGTTCAGTATGGTCACACTGTTACACTCTGTTATTCAAGAAACTTTTGAAAAGTTTAAAAAACAATTTATGAAAAAATCTTCAGAACTAACTTATTTGATTAAAAAAATTTAAAAGAGGTATTGTTTTTTTTTTAACATATCATTTAAAAATGTGTATACTGTAAAAATACAGAATGCATTTAAAAGGGGAGGTGGGGGGGTGTTGGCACAGTGGTTAACCAGAAAAATTTAAAATGGCACGTCATGCCGAAAAGGTTGCCGACCCCTGCTTTAAGTTGTCTAATTTGGCACAGTCTCCCTGCTGCACTAATATTAGTAAGCCATTCCTCTGTGTATATATATATCCTTACAAGTACAATTTTAGCGGTATTATTTGTGTCCCCTTCAAAAATTGCTCTTGAGATATTTTATGTTTAATGTCCCCCCCTACTGTTAGACGAAAGTGTATGCCCCTGGCCTTGGGTGCACAACACCCTGTTGTCGGTTTGTGGTTTGTCCCTCCTCTGTCCACTGATGGTAAATTCTCACCACTGCTGACTGGGAGAAACCCACAAGCCTTGACATTTCAGAGATTCTCTGATAGGGCTGCACGATAAATCAAAAATAAACCACACATGATTTGGCAGTTGGCTGTGATTTTTTTTATGCACAGCTTGTCAGTGAAGCATGGTTGAATGCTGCTGCATCTAAATGCCAGAGGGTGCTCTCGCGCTGAAAAGTACCATAACACACGTAATTCCAAGAAATGCCTATGGGCATCTTTCTATCACTGTTCTTCCAGCCTTCTCAGGTATTTTCATAATTATAAAGTATATTTATAATGATGATGTTTGACGAGTGTTGCTTTTACAAATGCACATTGTAAGCAACTCAAATTCTTAGCGATTTCAGAAGAGCAGAACTTCCTACTGATCAAAGAGCCGTGCTTCATGGACAAGCTGTGCATAAAAACATAATCGCAGCCTTTGCAATGTCATAATCACACTAGACAGGTCGATTTACACAAGATTTATTATTAATCGCGATTTATCGTGCAGCCCTATTCTCTGAATGAATGAATGAATGAATGAATGATCCTTATTTCTGCCCACTTCTCCTGAATCCAGCATGTTGATTATGAGAACTGACTGCTTACTTATCATTTAATCTACCCAAGCTTAGTTAGGAGATGAACAATAATATTCGCTTCATCTGTGACTGGTCATAATGTTTTGGCTCATCAAAGTAAACATAAGCTAAGTCTCTGCTTTTATGAGTTTTCACAGGTTGAATTTAAAGAACTCGTAGAAAACGAGTGTTAGAACTTTGGGAACTTCCTCAGAACTCCGTTAAAATCCTCATCCTTTCAACCGTATGTGTGTGTGTGTGTGTGTTTTCATTAGTTTAGTTTAATGTAATCTAGAATAGCCAAATAAACTGTTGTTTCATTATAAGAATTATCGTTTGTGTTGTGAATTTTAAAGTTAAACTCTGCCCAGATCCATTGTTACCTAGCTCGTAGCTTATAAATGATCAAAAGCATGTATTAGCCTTTGGCCAGGGATAGTACAAATATTCAAATCGATGTTAGCGTCTTGCTTGACGACCGTTGATAAAGTGTAAACTATCAATTTTGGAATCAGTTCAATCAGGTTGATTTTGAATCTTAAGATTCGATTCCCCCCTCTAAAAACCTGAGCTAAAATAAAAGAGTTAATTTTCCCTTACTTCCTTACATCAATGTACACTGAATATTTTGTTATTATTGAGAAATGGTTTATAATGTACTACAATACACTGAGGTATCTTCCACTATTTACACTATTTATATTTTTAAGCATTGTTGTATAATATCAAATAAATGCAATTACCCTGCCTCCTTGTTTTAGATTTTAGATGTACAATTTAAGTATTGTTATTTATTTTTGTTTGTTTCAAATAAATGCCTTGTACTGCATGGACAGAGAGACAAGAAACCACAGAAGTGTGGGCGGTTCTGTGTGTGTGTGTGTGTGTGTGTGTGTGTGTGTTCAAGGACACAAATAACTGTGGTTCTACTCCTATAACCTTAAAAGGACATCAGCCATCTTGGTTGAGTTTACTGGAGTTCAATGACATGAAAAGGTGGACAGCTTGCACCTGTGAGGCCTTGAGAAGGATACTGGAAACTTGGGGAAATTTAAACTCTGCAATTTGAACTTGCAAGTCAAGAAGATGAGCTAATGGCTGTGGTAAATAACAGGAGTATTAAAGACTGATGAGCTGATTGCCTCTTCAGATACTGATATGTCAATACCCCCAATGCAAAGAAGCCCAGAGCTGAGACAACAGAAGCTGAAGACAAGAAGCCAAGAGTGGACTACACCTTTGATGGAAAGTGTGATTGTATTTTATATGTTAATGATTAAGTTTTATTTGCCTTTACATTTTGTTTATTATAAAAAGAAAAGTAACAAAACAAAAAAAAGTATTTCAAACACTGCCTACTGAGGTTTTGATTTTTAGTGTCTTAAAGCGTTGAACAAATTGTAATCAGTTTAAAAGGCTTGCAATTTAGGCCAGACTCGACTTACTTTACCTAACCTGAGAATAATTAAAAAAAGTTAAAGGTGTTAAGATCAAAATACCCACCACAAAAAAGTATAAATATCATAGCAAATAGAATCTTACTACTGTTTATATTTAATACAAAATACTGCTATTTTTACTTACTTTAATATTACATCTATTGAAATTTGCACTCATGTAAATAGCCTCTGCCATTATGTATAAAAACACATAAATCATTTTAAAAATCCACATTTTGAACATTCATTAATACAATGAATACAATCACTCATTTAAATTGTTAAATTCATTGCTGAAGTTTAAAATATGAAATTAAAAATCCAAACCTGGCATGTGCTCTAAATATGGTGCTACGTACATCAACATCAGAGGCCTCTGGATATACAGAGCACAGCAAGAGATTGTCTCGTACAGAAATCCTGCAAAAATAAATGAATAAACATTAGAGCATGTTCTCTTAAGTAATGGATAATATACATCCAGTCAATTGTTGTGGAAAGATAGAGCTTGCTAATTTCATTTGAATGGTAACAACTCTACAGTTTCTAATTATTCTAACTGAATTAATTTAAACAAAAGTAAGAATTTTATGTGAAAGATGACACATTTAATAAGGTTAGGGGGAAAAAACAACCATTTAAAAACAGTGGGAAATGACATCTGTTTTGTTACATACAGCAACTCATTTTAAGTTAACTATTTCTATCTCTTTCCAGTCACCGAGCACTTTATTTTGAGAGAAAATCTGTAACTTAGTCCAGATTGGGGGAATTGTAATGCTTAATAATCTCTTTTATTATGTAAATACATTTTGCATTGCAATTTGCATAGATTTTTGTTTGTATATGCTGTCAATTATATAGTTAATAGAAAGAAAATCGGAATCTGCAAAAATCGGCAGGTCACAAATCGAAAATCGAAATCGAAAATGGCCAAGAAAATTGCAATCGGTGCATCTCTAATTAAGTACAGTGAATTTGGGATTTTTGGGGACCGGAATGATGGTGGAGCGTTTGAAGCAGCAGGGAACTTCACAAAGCTCCAGATATCTGTTGAAGATCTGTGTGAAGATGGGGGCCAGTTGGTCAGGGTAGACTTTTAAACAGGCAGGTGAAACACCATCTGGGCCTGCAGCTTTCTTATATTTCGGCTTCCTGAAGACCCGGTTCACATCCTCTACACCGACCTTAAACACAGGTTGAATGGTGGGGGAGGGAGGGAGGGGGGTTGTAGAGGGGGGTAGGTGAATGTGTGAAGTGCAGATTAGAGCGGGTGCTGGGTGTCAGTCAGGCCTTTTCAAATCGACAGTAAAACACATTCAGGCTACGTCCACACGAAGTCAGAGCTTTCCCTATACAATCTTTTTTTCCCCTCGTCTCAAGAAATATCTGCGTCCACACGAAACCACGAAAACCGATACGAAATGGTGTAGTATACATGCCAGACTAGCATGTGGCACTGTAATTCTGCCACAGAGATACACTAAAAATAGAGTAGAAGGCTTGGACTATGCGCATAAACCTTGCGCACGGTATACAAACGAACATGGAACAATACATTTATTATTCTGTGTTAATGTTTGCTAATAAAAAGACAACCGTTCAGTGTTTGTTCATGTTTTTGTTGCTGTTACGTGACGTAGCTGTGTCTGACTAGGGGGCGAGACGTGGGCTGATGACGTCATCGTTTCAGAAAAAAATACAGATTTGCGGTCCACACGAAAACGCAAGGGTGGCGTTTTCATATTTATCCACTCTGGGACCCGGTTTAAAAAAATATCGGTTTCACTCTCCCAAAACGCCGGATCCATCTGGACAAAATGCCTATATAATACAAAATGTATGCGTATACAGCTAAGCGCGTCTCCGTGTGGACGGGGCCTCAGATCGTCAGCCAGTTGTTGATTCTCTACAGACTGGGGATGGTGTCTTGTACAAAGTGATGTTCCTCAGACCAGTCCATACTGACGCCGAATCGTTGGCTGAAAACTGTTTTCTCAGCTTTTCAAAGTAGTTTTTTTAGTCACTCTGATCTCCTTTTTTTAGTCTGTTCCTGGCCTGGTTATACAAGATTGTATCCCCACTTCTGTAAGCATCCTGTTTGGTGTAACGAAGATGTTTGAGTTTCCCAGTAAACCATTATTGAATGATAAAAATGACCTGGTGGGGATGTACATATCCTCACAGTAACTGATATATGAAGTTACAGTCTCTGTGAGCTCGTTCCAGATCTGTGGCTGCAGATTCAAAAACCCTCCCATCATTGAGGTCGAAACAGGCTTTTAAATCCCACTCTGCTTCATTAGTCCATCTTTTTACAGTCCTTAATACAGGTTTAGCTGATTTCAGCTTCTGCTTGTAGGTTGGTATAAGATGAACCAAACAGTTATCAGAGAGCCCCAAAGCTGCCCAAGGGACAGAGTGATAAGTATCCTTCATTGTGGTGTAACAGTGTTCCAATATATTACTGTCTCTGGTGGGACATGTAATGTGCTGCTTGTATTTTGGCAGGTCATGGGAGAGATTTGATTTGTTAAAATCTCCAAGAATGATTAAAATAGAGCCTGGGTACCCTTGCTCCATTTGAGTCATTTGTTCGGCTAGCTGTTGCATCGTGGTAATGCATCGCATGCATCCGGTGGAATGTACACTTTCACGAGAATGAAAGAGGAAACTCCCGTGGTGAGTAGAAAGGTTTACAGTTTATGAAGAATGCCTCTAAGTTAGGACAGCATACCTTTTTCAGCGTTGTTACATCTGAACACCAACTTGCATTGATGTAGAAACACAATCCACCACTTCTCGTTTTCCCCGTTAACTCCGCGATGCAATCCGCTCTGAACAGCTGGTAGCCCGGCAGATGAAGCACATTATCTGGAATGGCTTCAGATGGCTTCAAAAACTTCAGAAGAATTGCGGAGCTCAGCGTCGTGGCTGCCATTTTGCCACGCCATCTTGATCTATTCAAGATGGCCTCTTATGAAGAGGCAGTTAGATGCTCATGGAAGAGATGAGTTTTCAGTTGTTTCTTGAAGATTGACAGGGATTTGGCTGTCCGGATGGAGTTAGGTAGGTCATTCCACCAACAGGATATGGTGAAAGAAAACTGGAGAGTGATTTTGTGCCTCTCTGCAATGGAACCATGAGCCGCCGATCGTTTACCGACCCAAGTGTAAGAATCCACCCAGATTGGCACAACGACGGAATCCAATTGGTGGGAGAAGGTATAATGTGTGTAGGTCTTTTGCATGCGCTTCGGCAAAGTTTACTTAATTTATCAGGATTTAGTTTCAATTTAGTCAAGCTCCGTGTTCAATCTGACTCCGATTTCAAGTGATCAATACATTTCTGATCTTACTCAGAGGATACAGGGTGATTATAATACCCTTAAATATGCTGCACCCTGCTAGCAAATAACAAAAAGTGTATTTTTTTCCTATAATCACAAAAACTGTACCTTGATAAGCCAGTGACAAACATAAATCAGAAGATCCCTAATGATGAGTCCCCGCTTCATTCATTGGTACTTTAGTATGATCTATCCTGGACGCAAATTTGCGGAAACACCAGACTACGCCATAATCTACTAAAATAATCATGATTCCAGAAGAGATCAGAATAAATCAAAGATAATGTATTATTAGTCAGGTAAAATTGTATCATGCCAATTACATAATGAAACAATTACAGCAGAGAGACACAGCAGTATGTGGGCTCTAGTGCAGAGCTCCAAATTCACATATGCTGCGGGAGTTTTCTGACCACAGAATCTCAATGACTGATTTGCAACTTTCCCTTAAATACTACCAGAACAAATGGGCCATAAACATTTATTCCCGGGCCCAAACAGATTACTTCAGAGTATGGGGTATGAGAAGCATCTATAGAAGCTGTTCTCGCGCCCAAATGGTCACACCTGGTGCAGAGCAATGTTTATCAGATTTTGAAAGGAGACCGCCCACAACAGAAGTACAGAAAAGAACAAGAAGTTTTCAATATTTCTCATAAGTGACTACTGTGAAATTGACCAATTTACCAAATCGCACAGAGAACTTTAGAATGATACCAAACATGAAGGGGAAAAACAACAGGTTCACAAGATACATCATATGTGGTATATACATCTTCTTAATGAACTTTGAGTGAAACCTTTTGGGGGAAAGGAGGGAGAGGCAGAGAGGGCAGGGGGGAGAAGGGGGTCGTAAATGAGCAAGGAGAGAGGTGTTGTTTGCTCTCTTTGGAGACCTCTTCTCCAGATTAGATTTATATATAGTTCAGTCATGAAACTCTAGATGTCGCATTCTGACGGGGTGTTAACGTAACTGATGATATTCAGAGAGTTAAACGACTTCGCTCAGTCTGATTGGTTCATACTGCATATGCAGCCAATAAGCTTACTGCCTTGCGTTTATATGGCTGGCTAGCATTCACTTGAGATTCCTGCAGCGTGCTTTCAGAGTTCTCTGAAACCCTCCACCTTCCCCAGCTCCACCTGTATAGATCTGCTATGGGGTTATTTTATATGCTATTTGTGCAGCAGCAGTATGTCTTAATTACTCATGGCCCCGTATCACCATATGCATTGGCAGTTGCAAGTTCCTGTACTTGCTTGCAGCAGCAGCAATAATCTACAACTACAGCAATAACCAACAGCAGCAGCAGCGTAGCAGATCTGTTCCGCCAAGACCAAATACATTAACATTGTCATATCCATCACCATGCTAAAATTTTCAGAGCGTTGTCATGATTGAAATGGATTTGTTGCATGGCATCGGTTTTGTGTGAGTTCCTAACACTTGGTTTCATGAACAGATAATTTCATAAGGCAATAATTTAACTCCTTACAGTAGGCTTCTGGAGGGGATGTAGACGCATAGGACAGAGCGGAGGTAGGAGGGTGCAGAGCCCGTGGCTGTTCTGTAGGCAAGCACCAATGATTTGAGATGAGAAGTGGTGTGACATGGGCTCTCTTGGGCTCACTGAAAACAAGATGTGCTGCCCGGATCTGCTTCTTTGTATTACAGTGAGTGCAAGCTAGATTAAATTGATTATTATGTTTTAAATATGGTTATTTTTCATACAAAAACGCATCAATTCGCTACAGGAGGCCTTTGTTCACCTCCCGGAGCCATGCGAGGCACTTTTTATTATGGATGGATGCACTTTATTTCACTTCTTTTGGACTGATAAACTGTAACACCCACTGACTGCCATTAAAAAGCTTGGAAGTTCAAAGACATTTTTTAATATAACTCTGACTGGATTCGTCTGAAAGAAGACAGTCATATACACCTAGGATGCCTTGAGGGAACTGTTACCTCCAAGATGTAAATTTTTAAGTACCCCAAGGACTAATCGCCTTGGTGGGGGATTGGCTAATATTTTTAATAATATGATTAAGTGCAAGTTACTGCCTGTTA